TTCCCTCCCTCAGCTCCTTGCCCCAGGGAGCCTAGAGCTGAGGCCCTCCCTGCTCTGGGTCACTGTGGCATCAGGAATCAGGCCCTGATTCATGATATTCCCTCCACAGCTCACCGCAGAATGGGGGAGGCAGTGAGGCCTCTTCTGATCCACTGCTGGTTTGCTGATTTGGGAAAAAGTGAAAATTCCAGGCGCAGAGAGAGCCCAGGAGGCTGAAAGATTTCACCAGTGGAAACCAAGATGGAAAATAGTTAAAGTCATTTCTGCCTCTAGGCAGAGTTACAGTCAACCAGGTTGCCTAACATGTTGTCACAGATGTTTATTTGTTTAATATTATTATAAATACTAGCGATAGACTACACATACTGAAGGCTTATCTTGTGCCAGACACTTTATATGTCTTTGCATTTTATCCATTCAACAACTTTATGTGGTAGGTACTATTATCTCCCATTTTCTTAATGAGAAAATGAATGCTAAACAGAGAGGTACACTGACTTAACCAAAGTAACTAAACTAATGCGATCTAAACCCAGGTTTCCCTGACTCCAAATTCTAAGCTCTTTACCCTACTTCTAGGTTTCCAAGATCTGAGAAATGTATTTTGTATATTTCCTTTTAAAGGAAATAAATCCACAGAATTCAGAATAAACCTTCAAGATCTCAGGGACCATGTATCCCAGTTGGAGAAGCATTATCTATAACTCAATACTTTCTGGGAGGCCTTGAAGAACCGGCTAACAAAGATTTTGTGGAAAGGCTGGAAGAGGGCATTTCAGGAAGGAAGAACTGGGAGGGCAATGTGAAAAAAATGCAAATGATGGCTCTAAGTCAGAAGACGGTGTGGGCATGAGGCTGGAGGAGGCTGGCTCTGTGCAGGGAAATGAAAAGGGGAGAACTAGGCCAGCTCTCAGAGGCCTGAAGGCCCAGTTCAGTTTATGCTCCAGGTTATTGAGCAGGAAGGAGAGTAATACAGCCAGCCTTCCATATCTGCGGGTTCCATATCTATGGATTCAACCAACAATGGATGGAAAACATTTGGGAAAAAAAATGTTATGCTGTTGCTGACATGTACTATGTAGTTAGGCCTATGATGGTTGCATCTGTACTGAATATGTGCAGACTTTTTTGCTTGTCATTATTCCTTAAACAATACAGTATAACAACTATCTATATAACATTTACTTGTAATTGGTATTATAAGTGATCTAGAGATGATTTAAAGTATATGGGAGGATGTGCATAGGTTATATGCAAATACTACACCACTTCATACAAGAGACTTAAGCATCGGAGGATTTTGGTATCCACAGGGGTCCTTGTACCAATCCCCTGTGGATACCAAGAGGTGACTATTCTCTGGGAGAGATGTTTGAGACCTGGGCTAGAGGGAAAGGGTAGATAATTAAGAGGGCTGCCGAGAGGTTGGTATTACAATCCTAGCAGCCTAGGACAATCTGACAAAACATGAAGAAAGGGGTTATCTAAAAGACATTGCCAAAGAAATTTAGCATTTTGGAATCTGGGCCATCTGCCTCCTTCCCAAGGATTGCGATTCAAGTTAGTGTTTGGGTGGGGTGGGAGCTGGGAGGCAAAGGAAGGAGCAGGAAATCATGGTGTGTCTGCAGCACTGAGCCTTCACACTAGCAGACACTCTGGTCTGGGAGCTGCTGTGGTCTCGAATGAGAGCACTCATTGCTGTGAGCTGCACACTGGCCTGAGGACTGGTCTGGGAGGTTCAGGCTACTGGTCCTGCCAGTTCTCTGGGATAGGACAGGTGGGCAGATTGTAGATCTGGAGCCTGCAGCAGCAGTTTTGTGTCTTTTTCAATTCTTTGAAAGGACGATTCCTCTCCCTGGGTGGCAAAAAAGAAAAAATAATGAAAAGTAAACAAGCACAATTTGGTTAAGAACTCAAGAATTGCCAATTCAGAAACTCTAATCTGTTTAAAAAGTTCAATCCTTTTTTTTCAAAGGCCAAAAACCTATTTCTATCACAGATTGTACATCCATGTGTCTGTGAGCTGGCAAGGGAGATAGAGTGAGTGTGAGGAGAGAATTGAAATGCCTTTGTTCCTGTGTGAGGCTGCTGCTCCATGGACTTATGTGTGTACATTGTACGTACATTCGTGCCTGTTTCTCAGGCCTCCGTGTGCATTGAACTTTCAAACCATAACAGAAACACTGAAGCTTGGCAAAGATATCACAGGAATAATTATCTAATTTTGGAACATGTTATTATAATACCTACATGATGTGTAACGAACTTAACAATGTTCACGTTATATTCACCAACGCTGAGTTGTAGACCCACAATGCCAAGTCCTGCCTCAGAGGCTTCTCCAGGACCTGAGTGCAGAGCAGGCCCTAAAGAAAGCTCTTTCAGGAATAGTCCCCCCACAATGATTTCCTCACAGATCAAGAGGTTTGGCTGGAAGGGGGCAGAACCTATCTTGGGAGGGCAACTCTGTTCCTCCCAGAATCTCTGTTCCTCTTCAGCAGAGTAGCCTCTGAAATGGATAAGAAAATAACCATATTGGGGTCAGAGGCAGATAGGCTTTCCCTGACTCAGCTGTGGGCCAGGGGGCCTCAT